TGAGTAGAGAAGTAGCTGGATCTTTGATGGCCCTACTGTAAAGGCTAGCTCAGAGAAATGGATACCAAGGTCTAGTACCCAGTCATAGTAGCCAAATGGGCAAGAACCTCTGAATTAGAAGTCTTAGAGATACCACCAACCAGACTGCCAGAACAAATAAAAAAAAAAGGATATTAGACCAACTCAATATACTGATAGACTGGTTGTAGTCCTATATAGGCTATTTGGATTAGAAGTTTGGTAAAAAAGCAGGAGAAAAGGCAGGGATATACTAAAGTACCAGGATTATACTGTGAAGTAGATGCTGAGGTCTAAGTAAACTCTACAAAAGCATAGTAGTTTAATGATTAGCCTTAATTGCAAGTGTTGGTTCTATCATAGCGATATCTAGGTTAGCTATAAAAATAAGTATAAAAGGCTTTGAAAGGTTTATCTTGAAGATAAATTAGTTCTAAGGTTGAAATAATAATCTGGGCATCTGAGTATAATCCAGTAATATTAATACAGGTTACAGATTCAGAGGGTTTAAAGTAGAACACCCAAGCAGAGATGTTAGTTATAACAATTGGTAGGGAACTTTTGGGCAGATTTCTTAAATAGGTAATATAAAAAAGTTATACATGTAGCCAATTGTATACTTTTCTGTAATGGTTCATTGAACCACAATACCGATAAGTGATTAATAAAGATCAAAAGACCAAAGAAGTCATCTTAATACCAAAAAAAAAAATTGTTTCTAACAGAATTTTAGATATAAGTAACTTAGTTTTATATTCTTATAGACATTTACTACTAGAATATAGAAACTTTGTAAGTTTTTTCTTTTTATAAAAATTTAAAAGTTTATTAAATAAATTATAATTATTATATAAAACAAACTTGTTAACCTCTTTTTTAGCATTATTTTAATATATTATATACTATAAACAGTTTAAAACTAATAATTGTATAGTAAAGATATTTCAAAACTCTTTTAAAAACTATATTCTACTTTTGCAAAATTTTTTTTTTACTTTTTTAAAAAATTCTAGTTCTTTAGGATACTTCAAACTTGCTAATCTATATTACTAATCAATATTATTAATTTATTTATATAAATTTAACTTTGTTTCTTAAACACCACTATATTCTTTATTTAAATCAACTTATTATATTTAATAACTTATATTTTTTAGATTAAAAACATATATCTTTATATATATACAAATTACTATAGTTATTCAACTAAATACTTTTTTTTATATAAAAGATCATAGCTTATTACAGTACTTAATAATTAAATCATTATTAACAAAGGTAGTAGACAATTTTATTTCTTAAAAACTATTCTTATTAATTATTGGCAATATTACATAGAACTACAATTTACTTATCTTTATCTACTATTACCTATTTAATTACAAGTATGTTCAGACTGCTTTCGCAACTTATATACAATTAATATTTTTATCAATCACTCTACAAGATTCTTTGATTAAGTTAATACATATAACAAAATTCTTAACTTTAATGCCAATTACTTTGATCTTATATACTTCATTGCAATTTGACACCCTATTTAAATTTCTAACCTTTCTAATATCAACATTATAATACATCTAATTTTAACTGTTTTTGAACCTGATATTTTAACAAATAATCTTTAACAAATCATTAACAACAATATACATTTATCAAAACTTTATTTCTATACAAATAACTTTATTAACTTAGATATATCACAATGCTTTATAGGCATTAAATAGATCTAAATTTTAAACAATACTATACTGTATATATTTTAAGCTCAAACAAGATACTGGTTTTGCTCATTTAAGTCTAAGCTTATTGCTATATTATCAGTTTTTATTACTGCTCTTAAAAATAATACTATATATATACTAACTTACAGTTTGTAATTTCCAAATATTACAGTCTTTTAAACTTAATTCATACTTTATCTTATATATATATATTGTATTTTTTATTTTTTATTTTAAATATTAACAGTAAGGCTATGCCTTTAACTTTATTGAAATTCAATTAAAGTTTTTACAAAAAAAAGCTTGCTTTTAAATTATATATAAAGAATAAAGGCTCAGACATATAATCTGTAATCTAAATCTATAAAAGTGGTCAAGGCTCATCTAGATTTGGATGTTAGTAATAATATATAAGAGAGGGATATGATATTTAATCTATTGAATAGTCCAAAGATCAATTTTAGTAATAATTTGTAGTATTAAGATAAGAGGTAATAGTAGACTAGAAAGAGAATTATAAGTTGAGTTTGTAGAAAATGTAATTAAAGACTGTGCTGAACATAAAATACAATATGAAATCCATAATTGTTTATATATTTGTTGGTTTAAATAAAGAAGAAATTTAATAAAAAGAGAAATAGCTATATGGTAAAAAATAGAAGTATTATAAATAGTTGAAACGAAGTTGATAGAAACTAAGCCAGATAAAGTAGAAATAAGAGATAGTATATAAAAAAAGTTGTGCAATTTAAAACTGTTAAGTATAAGAAGTTCTTAATGTAGATTAGAAACAGCATTAGCAGATATGTCAAAAGCAATAGCATTTAAGATACAGTTAAAAGAATTAGAGATTAAATAGTAAATTGTTTGTATTAGCAAAAAAAATAGACTGCTATATATTAATTACTAACTATAGGATATATAGTGATGTTAATCACTCCTGCTGATTTATAACAATTATGATACCAATCGATACATAACCAAAATGATAGAAATCGATACATAACCAAATAAATAAAATTGATATGTAACCAAATAAAATAAAAATTGATATATAGCTAAAAAAAGATATAGATCGATATAAATCGATATATAGCTAAAAACATATAAATTACTATATTTAATATTGCAGCAATTAATTTTAAAAATATTAAATTAAAAGGGCATTAAATTGAAAAGCAACTAATTTATTTTATTTTACAATATACAATATATACAATATATGCAATATATAAAATTTTTTTTTTTTTATACCTTAAGCAGTTATGCTAGTACTTTATTAAGATTCTTGAAACTATATACATCTATAATTACATAGAATTTCCCAATACTCAAGTCTAGCATTACTCGACCATCCTATTGGCATCTAAGTGCAACCTGTCACACTATCTTAGTTAAAGATAGACTGCTCATCTAACTACTTAAAGCCATATCAGAAAGGTCTTTCACCTTCTGTGACAAGCATATCGATTGACTTCCAAGCTTCTTTCTTTATTCAATTTATTTTTTTTGCTTTTTTTTCCTTTTTTTCTCTTTTGTTATCTTATTCTTCTTTGTTTTCTTTTCTGATCTTCTTTTGGTTCAAGCACCTTTTTTCATTTTGCCTGTTATATTGACCTTCTTTTTCTGTTCTTGTACTTTTCTATATCAAACTCTTCATACTTGGTTGTAAAATGTATTCTATACTGTTCTTGTTACTATATCTATGCATTTCTGTGTTGCCTGCCTGTCTAGAATCTGACTGATCCTTTTTCCAACTTTACTTGTTGTTAGCTCTTTTATCAAAGCTGTTCTGTTTGTGATTTCTTCTGCTTTTGTCTTTCCAAAAAATTGCCTTATATAGCACTAGAGATGGGATTCTAACCTTTTCTTTTTCTTTCAAACTATTCCAAGCTGCTGCCATTGCTACCTTTTGAATTCTCTTCTACAAGCTTCTTTGTTTAATACAGCTTGCTAAGTGTGCTTGGGTTTTCTTTTCACCTTTTTGGTATACTTGGCAATCAGTCATTATGTATATTTTTGGTCTTCTTCTATTTAGTTCTTTTAGTATTGGTAGGCTATCTATCATATATTTAATTACTGTTGCTCTTCTTGTACTAAGTTTTTTTGTTATACAATATATACTCTTTGTTCTATTTATTTCTTTTCAAAAGCTTGACCAATTATAATGAGTATTCTCAGTTTTTGGCTCTAGTGCTTGAATTGGATTTGTTTCTCTCCAACTAGCTTCAATTCTGACATTCATAACTATTTTATATAGAAGTCTTGCTAGTATGTCAACTTTTCTATTTTTTTATTCTAAATGATACTCTATTGTGATACACTTGATCTTCTCTGTAACTATTATTCTTTCACATATTGCTTCTTTTTTTACAAGTAAATCTGCTCTGTTATTCTACTTGTTATTACTATGACTTTTAACCTTAACTAGTTCTATTCTATTGTTCTTGCTTTTAAGTAAACTAACAATATTTATTATTCACATCACATATTTCTTCTTCAAAACTCTGTTATTTTCTATCTCTTGAATTGCTCTGTTAATATGCCTTAATGCTACGAGGCTATTTGTATTCACCTCTATATGCTTTCTTTCGCAAATACTTATTTGCGCATATAACACAAACTTTTTATAGAATCGATCTGCATTATTTGTATACTCTAAAATTATAGATCACTAACAACTATTCTATAATTAATTTTACTTTATTATTATACTATAATCTATTTCTTTATATTATTAATAATAAGCAAAAAACTGAAACTAGGCAAAGATATTATAAAAAAACTTTTAAATATATATTAGGACTAAAATATTAATTTGATAATCAACTTGTTCAAAAATTGTTTTATTAATAGGTATACTAGAAACTTTAAGTAGATAAATATTATTTGAGATAAGTATACTTTTAAATATAGTGTCACGATTGACAAAGTGCTCAAGGCGATTTTTTTTTTAGTTATATTATTTAAAGCATAATATAACCAATTTAAATTTATCTGAATTATGAATGTATATAAACTACCTTCATTGTTTTTCAATACCCATATGAGTGGAAATTTCATTTTCTGACTTTTATCTATCCAATTTCCAGCTTGTATAGATCTTTTAGGCCTCCAAATGTCTTTAAGAATCTTTAAATTCTGATCATGAGCAATTTATAAGCGATTAACATCCAGATTTTCAAAATTTTGTGTCATTTTTTGAATCTTATAATAAAGGTTTTCAATAGTGTGTTGTGGCTGTTTTTGCTCTTGTTGTCAATAAGTTGAATTGATATTTTTGTTAAGTGAAGGAAATTGATGAAAAATAATTGCATAAATATGTTTACAAGGAAGATAACGTGCTTTAAAATCTAAACAGGTGCATGAAAGTTGTTGTTCGAATTGGTCATGTTCTAAATTTTTCACTATTGAATATCTTATTTCTGGCTTGGTTTTTGATGCTACTGTCCAACAGCATTTACTATTATTAACTTTAATGACAGTATTTGTTAATGCTTGTACTTTTACTTTTCTCAGATGAGTTTCTCTCTCTGCTGGCATCATCTGTTCAGCTCGAATATCTGCAAGATGCTGTTGATATTGTATGTTATCTTCTATTACTATATATAGTTTATAGATTAAGATATCATTGCGCTGATTGTGTTTTTCTTCGAAATTATCATATTTTAGACGTTTATATCATGACTCAAGCATATTCATCGTATTTATATTAGCATGTAGAATTTTAGAGCAGTATGGATTCATCTACATAGTTTCGTCTATACTGTAAAGATTACTTTGTCCATTCGGCTCATTTAACCATTAATGTTTAAAATAGATAATGAATATTGGTGCAATTTTCCACTTTGCCAAAAATGTAGCCAAGACATCTTTAGCAGTATTTATATCATCAACATGCATAATATATTTTAGATCAGCAAATAATTCTTCTTCTAATGCTCTTTTTTCAGCCAACTTAATTTTGTTCCCTTTTGTATTCTTTTTTTCTTTATAAACCTTTTTAAGATTATCTCTCCAAGCCCTTGAAACATGCTATCAGCAAAGTAGAATTTTACTTTCTGGAAATATAATACAAAGAGCTTTTATTTGTGCAGGATTACAATCTACCATAAAAGCAACTAGGCCTTGCAAATTAGGAATTTGATCATTAAGTTTGCTAAGCCAGTACTGAACAGATTTGAAGCTTTTATGTAAAGATAATAAATGTGCAAGTGTAATACCTTTTCCAGTCTTTGGATCAGGTGCTAGTAGTGTGTATAATAGATCTTTATGCTTATTCATTCCATGTGTTGCATCAAGAAGAATAATTAAAGCATCACAAAGAACCTTTTTTCTAGTAGGAATTGTAAAACCAAAAAGCATACCTATATCTTGTTCATTATGTTTTCCTAATCATAGAACTGCACAAGTGAGGTCTCCTTTTTGCTCAAGGTCAAGTCACCACAATTCTATGCTTAATTCTTCAGATTTATGCTTCATTTGGTTTTTCAAAATTACCTTCTTCCATATATTATATATGTCATTGCGAGTTACTAAATTATCATGAATTTGAATAGCATCCTTTTTGCTTCATTTTTTCCAGATATCTGTTAGATTACAGAAATGTTTTTTAAAGAGCTGATTGATACATTTAACATTTAACCCATCTCTAATGCATTCAGCAATCCAATTCTAAACTTCCTTAGAAAGTCTTAATGTACCAATATCACTATCAGAACCCGAAATATGATTAGTATGTGAAACATATTTTATGAGCATTTTGGATTCACTAAATGTTTTTTTAATAGTAATGATTATTTGTGATTTACAATCACATTTTTTGCTCTCTTTTTGGTTTGATCTTGGTTTTTTATCAGAATAACTTTGACTAGTTACAGTTTGGTAAGTACCTGATCAGTGGCATTTGTAAATAACCCGCAAAGCAATATTTCTAGTATTTTTTTCTATATTATGTCTGATATAATTTGCTTCAGTTACTTTACCAAATTGTTGAACCCATTCATGATAATCTGTATTTAGTAAGACAAGATACATAACATCTTCTGTAAATTTATTATGGTTCGAGACATTGTTATGTTTAATTAAAATTACATTAGTAGGCAAATAATCAGGATTTATAGTAAAATCTTGAAGGTTTTCTGCAAAATGATCAAAATGATCAAATAATTCCTCTAAACTTTCTTCAGGATCATCTATATAAGCTTTGACATTATATTCCTGAGCTTGAGTATTTTGCATATTCAGATAAGTATATGTTTTACAGATCAACTTTTAGTATACTTAAATGCAAGTTTATTTAAAAATTCATGGTTTTTATATATAAGATAAAAACCTAATTAATTCTTTTTTTGACTAGAAAAACTACTAACTATTTTTCTTAAATTTTTTTTGTAATCAAATTTATCATATAATGTTTTATTTTTATCTGGATATATTTCTTACAATGTATTATTATGGTTAACTCCTTATATAATGAATTGAAGGAAAGAAGTTTAATATAGAAAATTGCTGTTTTTTTAGAATCTATAGAAATTTATAACAAATAATTACAGAATCTCAAAAATTTAAGTTTGTTATGCCCAGTTCGTTATATTTAGAGTCGACTGTATTTAACTTTTATATTGCAGCTAATAACAAATTTGCTGAAACTAAAACTAATGCTTAATTTGGTAAGTTTTTTTTTTTTTCTCTTAATCAATTTCTTTTTTGACTATGATAACTACTAATAATATTTTTACAATATTGTCGTCATAATCAGAATTTATTATACAATGTTTTATATTTGAGCTGGTATGATTGTATACACTGCATTATTTAGTATTTGATGCAGTGACAAATACTGATATTTTGTCTAGTGTGAAACTTATATATTTATAGTAGTAGATTAAAATAAAATCAGATTAAAAATAAAATTTTGTATAGTGTAGATTAGACAAGCCATTAAAGAAAACACAGAATTTTGAGATGCATTTTTTTTAAGGTTAGAGATTAGTTTTAGAGTAAAATTTGTAGTAAAGTATAAGTGGTTTTAGGAAGATCCTAATTTCATTTTAGTCTAATTTCATTATGATCTGCAATATTTATTAGTTAATTTGTAAGTTTTTTTTATTATTGGTTTTTTTATTTGACTAGAATAGGTACAAGATTTTACTAATTTCTACAATCTGAGTTCATAATACAATGTTTCACTTTACTAGATGCATTGTTATTTAATTTTTGGCATTGCGGCTAATATTGAAAACTAGAATAGTTACTAACAAGATTTTTTTAATTTCTATAGCCTAAGTTTATAATACAATGTTTCACTTTATTAGATGTATTACAACATTGTTATTTAATTTTTGGTATTGCAGCTAATGTTAAAAATTTTTGCAACTAAAACTAATGCACTTTATTGGTTAATTAATGCTAATCATTTGGCTTTATTTATTGGTTTTATTTCATCTAAATTACAATACTAGTTGCAATTTTAACTAATCCCACTTTAGTATATTCAAGTTTAAACTAGTGCAATAATTTTGGAACTTAATTCACAGGTATTATCAAACATTATATAACTAAAAATTTTAGTTGTGCCATATATATATAATTTAAATCACATTGAAATATGTTTTGGTTTAAAAAATAATATGTGCTAATTGCGCAATAAAATTTTATACATATACAAAAAATAAAATTATGTGTATAGTGACCTTAACATACATTCAACTTCATCATTATATATTTAATGTTGCTTATGATAGTGATAGTTAAATATTAAGTTGATAAATATTTTTAATATTCAGAAACCAGATTTATGTATATTAAAAAAATTTCTTTCTAAATTATCCGAGTTCGAATAAATTATTATGCTATATGTTTCAGATTATTATACAATAGCGAGTTCTATTCAGGTATAGCCAATATCAAGAGTTCTGTTTAGAAATAAGTTTATATGAAAAAAGTAAATCTACTAAATAAATTTATAATTTTATATTAAACATGCTTATATATAATATATAAATATTAATTTGAATAAAAATTAATATCTTTGCTAGATTTGCTTATTAACTAATCAGCCAATCAACTGAGAAATGTTGATCGATTCTATAAAAGATTTGTGTTACAGGTGCAAATAAGTATACATCTTCCTTTCTGGTATGGTTAGAATTGCTAACCATATTGCTGCTAATTCTGCTGTTGTTGCTAATAGCCAACCTTCAAGTTTTAGTGCTATTTCTTCTTCTGGCCAGTCTTCTCTGCTACTAACCTGTACCCAACTAATGCCTATCTTTCCTATACTATTTTTCTTTTTCTCTTTATATAATGCACTATTTGTATAAAGAGTATATTTGTCTTTGTTTCTTCTCTTGTTTTTCATTAGAGCTTCTATTAAGTAATTTGTAAGTTTACTATCAAATTCTTGTTTCTTGATTAATTCTATTTCTAGTTCTTCTACTTGTTTAAGTTTGATTAGATCTTTCTCTTCTTTTTTCTATTTTTTTGTTGTTCTGTTTTATAGCATTTGCTCTAATGTCGCATTAATCTTATTACTGCCCTTCTTTACTAATATTTCTGGAACTGCCTTTATGTTATTATTCTATCTTATTCACCTTTTGCAATTATCTATGCTTTGTTCTGCCCTGTTCTCACAACCTTTATATTTACTTATCTTAGTATATGTTTTGCCTTCTACTTTTTGTAATTGTCAGTGCTTGGCAAGAATCTTTTTCTTTTTCTTCTTAGAAATCTTACTGAGTTGCTGATTATGCTTTGGTCCATAAATGATCTACTTCTTCTTTCTTCTGTCTTTTGATATCTTTGTCCAATTAATCATTAATGCCTGTGTATTGTAGCCACTAATCTTGTATTAGTTATATACTTCTCTATTTGTTTATGTTTTTAATGTCCTCTCTTCTATTTTACTAAACCATTTGGCTTTTTTTCCTTTGCTTGACAACTCTAATAGACTCTTGAGCTGTCTCTACATAATTAGGTTCTCTCTTTTTATGTCCACAAGCTGGTTTAAATATACTAGACCCTTTTTGTTTATTGTGCTACTACTTGCTATCCATGATCCAACTCTAACTAATTCTCTTATACCTATTCCATATCTATATACTCTTCACAAACAATTTTTTGCTTTAATGCTTATTCCTATCTTTCTTGCTTTAACTATTATCTGACAAGCTAAGTTGTGTTTCCAATATTTTGTTTTTTTTGGTCTTCTTTTGGAGTCTTAAATGTCTTTTGTTAAGCCTGCTTTTTGATACCCCTAAGCTATTTTAAGCTTTGTTAGGTTATCTAGGATGTTTTTCCTATTAAGTCTTGTGAATAAACTGCTTATTTGTTTTGTTATTATTTCTTGACTTAGTATTTTACAGTTTTCCAGATCTTTGTACTCAATTATACAGTTGTTTGTTGTTTTTATCATATTACATTTGCATTTTGCTAAACATATTATCAGTTGATGAATCTTGTTAATCATCTTTTCTGACATTCTTGTTAACTGTAGAAGGTATTCTAATTTTGGAATTATTACTGTATTGTTTATATATGTGATCTGGCTTATTGTTATTTTTTTGTATCTAAGGTCTCTAACTGTTTGGCTGACTATTCTTTTTGCTTTTTTGCAGACTAGCAATTCTCTTATTCTGTTATTTAGCCAAACTCCTAATGATCTTACAATTTTGTTTTTTGGTTCTTTCATTATTTTACTATGTCTAAATATAATTTTTCTATCTTCTTTCCTCAGTCTAGAATTCATTACTATAAGCTTTGACTTTGCTCCATTTATTTCAATATCGTTTGCTTTAAAGAACTCTTCTGCAATTTTAAGAGTTCTTAGTAATTAATCTTTGCTCTTTGCAATCTATGTAGTATCATCTGCATAAGCAATCACTACCTGCCTATGTTTTGTAATATAATTAATGTTTGTGTTTTTTAGTATTTCTTGTTCTATTATATAATCTAGTGAATTATCTTCTTAGATTCTTTCCAGCAGTGGATTGTAGAAAAGCTGCCAGATTAGTAGAGAAATTATCTCTCTTTGATCTATACTATTTCCTGCTGTTATTTCTTCTGTTAGGCCATAAGTTGTAATCACCTTAAGTTAACATTTGTAAAAGAGATTGATGATATATTTTGTTGTTCTTTGTAGTATCTTGACTCTTCTAAGAGCCCATTCTAAGCTTTCCAATAGGACGAAGTTAAATGCTTTCTTCATATCTTGTAGAAGTATTCATATTTCCTTATTTTTCTCTTGTGCTTCCTCTATTATTATGTTTAGCATATGTATTGGTTGCTCTATTGAGTTGCTAGGCAATCTGCATAGTTTGGTCCTTTGAGTATTTCTCTTTCTGTAAATATTTTGGCCAACCTTCTTGTTACTATCTTCATGACTACCTTTTTAAAAGTCTCAATTAATACTATTGGTCTAATATTATTCAAATTATATTCCCAGTCTACATTTTTTGGAATTGGATAAATTTGTGCTATTTTCTACTTTTTTGGTATTTCTTCTATTTTTAGAACTAGATTTGCAAAGGCTCTGAAGATTTTTTATGATTTCTTACCTGCTTGTTTTATTAGAATATAGCTTATGCTTGAAATTCCTGAAGCTGTATTGGCTTTGAGTTCTCTTAGCATGTTTTCTTATTCTTCTTTCTCTATCTTTTCTTCTAACTTCTTATACCAAGACTTCTTAATCTATTCTTTTGGATTGTATATCTTTATCCATTCCTCTGACATTTCTTCCAGTTTGGTTCTTCACTTTCTGAATTAATTTTCAAAATGCTTTGCCAAACCATTTAAGACAGCCTTGAGTTCTGTTATTAGACTAACCTCATCTTCAATTTGGGTCATAAATCTGTCTAATGTTATCTTCTTATATAGTTTATTTAGTAGGCTAGCAATCATTTATCCTTGGTCAGTTTTTATTATCTTACATCTTTTATTTATATTTTCTTCTATCTGTTTTCTTAGAACTTGTTCCCACTCTTCTTTCTTTTTATCTTTTAGAATTCTTTGCCAGCCTTTTATGTTATCTATCTATGCTTTTGACCATTGTTTGTATAGCTTCAGTAATGCTATTCCTATTTCCTTGCTAATGTTTTTGAGTTTATTGTTTATCTTTTTTTTTTTTCTTTTTCTATCTCTTGGTTTTTTCTTATTTTCACCTTTTTAATTATTTATTGGAGTTTAATTATGTTTCTATTCTGCTATAGCTTCTTCTGATGCTGTTTTCTGTTTACTTTTGT